ACAGTACTATGCTGAAAGAGACAGTGACCCCATGAGGGTAAAGTTTATCATTCAGCATCCCAACAGATTGTTTTAGAGCTGGATGACCTGCAGAGTACCTGAAATGGGGAAGGGCTCAGAGGTCATGGCCTCAAACAGCCATTAAACTGAACCAATCTAAGAAAGATGTGAATCTGGAGAAGCAGTTTTCTGCAACCAACATCCCTTTGCAGTGAGGGCATGTATGTACTGTGAGAAATYCAAGGTTCTATGGATGGGTGGRTGAGCTCTGAGGAAATCAAGGMCAATCTCTTTCTGTACATTATACTKGTCTTCTGTGTTCAGCATGAAGGTTGTCATGAGGACCTGGGGTTTTGGGGACTGACAAGTGTTGAGCAACTCAAGGGGCTAGAAATCTGGAATATTGAAGTCTTGGAGAGATCCAGGCACTATGATATGGAAATCCAGAGATCATGACATTAAGGGTTGTCTCTTCCTATCTATATTTCCATTCATTTTTGCTTTTTTTCTCACTGCCTGGTTCAGAAAACACCATGAAAATTTGTCTCAATAGCCTTAAAATTATCACTGACCTATCCTGTGTTGATCATGGCTGTAGGACTGGGAAGAAAAGGCAAAATAGGGGCCTCATCTCTGCATGAGCTGAGCCAGTTCTACTCAAGGCTCTGTTTGCAGWCTCCTGAATCTGGAAAGAARTGTGACACTGATAGGKTAGAGGTTTGTGTCTCACTTCCCTATCTGCCTCTGTCACTGTGGAAAGTATATTACCACTATCATCATATGATGATAAACAGTAATARAYAGCCTCATCTTCAGTCTGMGTTCTGGTGATGGTCAGGGTGGCTGTTGTCCCTGAGCTGGACCCAGAGAATCTCTCCGGGATMCCTGAGGGTCTYTCACTATCTTTGTATATYAYCWGCACAGGRSTCTGTCCTGGGTGCTGCTGCTGGAACCAGTRTGYATAATWTTTWGRCARTTYATCTCCAGAGCAGGTGATTGTGGCTGTCTGTCCTGGGGCTACTGAGACTGAGGGTGGCTGAGTCAGCTCATAGGAGACCACAGARCCTGYAAAAGRAGAGARAGAGAGATGAAGGACCCATACCCAGGGGATCCAATAAATCTATGTCTCACATGATCTTAGAGTTTGGGGAAGATCCAACTCATGACCCTGTGGTAACCCCATAGTTAAAGTCTGGGTCAGGGCACAAGAGATCACCTGTGTAGAGCAAGAGGAGTGGGAAGAGTAGAGGTATGCAGTTCATGGTGGAGACACACCAAAACTCTTTGTCCTGATATGCACAGCACAGCTGGGTTCTCCAGCACCTCTCTTATTTCTTTCAATATTTTTATGTAAATGCATGTCTAGTTATCATGCAAATTATCCATCCTCTGTAACCACCAATTATGGGAAGTCACTAAAACCAGCTTTGGGTACAGAAGAAGAGACTGTAAAATTGGAGGTTGAGCATTCAACTTTCTCCAAGCTACTTTGGGAAAACAAAATCAGCCTTGATTTCCATGACCTCTGATTAATGTCATTTTCAGGGAATTTAACCATTGACCAGCGTTTCAATTCTTCGGGGCTGTTCTCCCCAGCTCTATTTTAGCAGGGCTGTTAACCTTGCAGGAGCCTGGCCAAGGGCTGAGCTAGGCCCAACTGTGGTGGACAATGGACCCTCACCTTCCTCATTCTGCTCTCATGGTTTCCCAGATGCACTTTATTTTCATCTTTGGTATTTTGTTTAATGTTTTTTCTGGTTGTTGAGATGCTTTTAATTATGTCACACATTATACCTTGTTCATTTAATCAACCACCTTCTTTTATTTTTTTCCTATATTTTCTGACCTCAAAAACAGGTTTTAACATCCCTCATTACACAATATACTAGCAATAGTCAAATTTATGCTATTTTTTAATCATCCATGTTTTATGTAATATGTTTAAAATTGTCAGAATCCAAACTTGATGGAGAAAACAACTTTAGGCCCCATGTTCTCTGTGAAGTTCATTAGTGTCACAGTTTTGAACATGGCTGAGTTCTGGAGTGTGGGTTGTCAAGTATCCCTCAAGCAAGAGGATCCTGTCACTGAACCAAGGTTAATTCAAGGTTCATGTGATGTGAGGCAGATGAAAGGTCAGTGTCACTCTGAGAGTCTCCTTAAGGAGCCTGTGCATACTCCATCCAGGGACAGGGACCAAATGCCCCCCTCCCTCATCAAAGACTACACCTGAGCATAGGAGACACAGCCTGAAGCAAGATGTGCCTGGAGGTGGAGAAAAATCTAGGGGGAAGTGTATAGAAATGTTTCAAAGTGTCTAGAATGGAGCCTTCATCCCTGGGATGACTTCTGGACAGTGATAAATGGGGCCTTGAGGTTAGGAGGAAGTATATGCTTTCATGCTGAGAAAATGACACATATTGTAAACTCATCTTCTCGTGCTGTGCTCCATGCTAGAGCTCCTGGACCTCAGCTAGGTCCCTCCAGTGAGTTTTACCCAGCAAAGACTGCCCATGCTGACAGATATGACAAGGCTCCTCCTAAGCATTTCCCAGCTGAGGTCCTCT